GACTACACAATTAACCATAAGAAAAACCGGTACTTCTTAATAAAGATGCAAGTTTTCTTGTTGCCTGGATAAAAGCGACTACTAAACTCTATTTGCTGCCAAACAGATATCACACTTCTACGAAGATCCAAAATTCCGTTAGAAATGATAAAGCTAACCTACAAGGAGCGCTTCGTTCAATTTCGAGGAAATTAACGCGCGCACTCGGAGGAAATCTGTTAGGAATTTTTTCCAGACTCAGTCCGGAAGTTGACACATCTGAGCTGAAATTCATCGCCCACTGCGGAATAATCGCGTCATGAGCACAAGCTATCAGCAAGCAGTCAGAAACTAGACAAGGCGGGAGGGATAAAATGGATCCGACAAAGCAAAAGGAGACAAGAATGGCCATTTCTGGCTTATTAGCCACCATCAGCCCGTCCTACTCAATCCCAGTTGTGGGTTACCCGGGGTTCGAACCCGGGACCTTTGGTCATTGAGTTTACCACTCTACCACTCCACCACGGACTCGTTGCTTTGTCGGTTGAGATTGGGAGTATGATGAATATGTGTGGATCGCTGATCTAGGTGTGAAAACATGTACGTTCCGATTTTGCTCTGGAGCTCACATTAGAGCCCGCGCAGGTAGCCGCATAGCGACTAGTAGGGTAGGACGAAATGGCGGGATGGAAACTAAAGTTCATATGCCAGCAAACGCAGTCGGAACGCTGGGAGGGGAGATAACGGCTGAGCCGAACTATTCGCAACTGCGTCCTCCAGCGGTAAACGATTGGCAAAACACGCATGTCTGGACTTTTAGCTACTATATGTGCTGTATGAAGGAAACAAAATAACCCTCGCGAAAACAGTCTTTTAAAAGTCCTGAAGCAGTCTGACGTTCCGGTGTTTTTATACTGCCCTATAGATATCACAATGGCAAAAGTTACAGAAAGAACGTGGAATCACATGACAGTAACCTGAAATAGACTACATTGAAAGGGCCCTTCCCGAAAGCACACACAAAAGCTTGAGGAGACTGGCGACTAGGGCGCGATATTTTTAAGGACACAAAAGTGTATGACG